TGTCTCTCACAGTTGAAGTGTACCTCTGGTGCAAATTACTGACCTCTGTCATCATTTTAAGTGGGGGAACTTGCACAATCGGTGGCTGACTAAATACTCTTTTGCCCCACTGTAGCTGTTGAAGGTCATCTGTGCAATGTCATTGCAGTAGTTACCAGAGTCACCTCACAATGACAAGGTTGCTGCTTCAGCTCGTTCTTCCTGTGTGATCCTGTTTCTGGCTGTAGGTGAGGCGGATGAGTGCAGAGTGCAGACCCTTTCTTTCACTGCATGAAAGCAGACTTAAACATGTTTGATGGTTTAAAATACTTTGAGTGGTCAGTAAGAGGGGAAAGGTCTGTCTGTGTCCACAGACTCATCCAACATACTTAATGCTGGTCACATGATCTCAGGTCAGAGTTTGAGGGTCTCATGATGTTTTTGCCGCCTCTAATCCATCTTTGTGCTTCTAAAAGAAAATCCAGCACTCCCACGTCTCTACATCTGACCTTAAATCAGACTGTAGTTTGTCCTCAGAGAGAAGAAATATTTCAGGAATCCAGACATTTTTCCCTCCCCCTTCTCTCCCACGAATTCTGTCCTCCTCGTCCTCCTCCTCGTGTCCTTTTAAACTGAAATGAAAAAGGAAGCCTCTGAGAATCTCAGCTGACACATCAGCTTTTAACCGCCTTTAAGTTACTTTACTTTACCTCATCATGTTTTGGAGGAATACTCTGCAGCTGCCTCTGAGTTTATCTAGTCAGAAGCATCCGTTTATTTAAGGCGCTTTTTTCCCCCGTGAGATGTCCCAAAAAAGTTCCAGTTGGTCAGAGCAAAGATGTAAGCTTTATCTAAAGCATCCCCTTAGTTCCTGCAATGAAAAACCCACAAAACTAACTATTATTAACCAACCCCCCAGATTCTAACCATAGTAACCTTCAGGTGATGTGCAGGTGGAGGCACTACAGGCTGAAATCTCTGAGCTGGCCAAGAGACTACGCTATGAAGTGTCAGTCACAGCAAGAGAGAGAAGCTGGACGGAGAGAGAGAGCCGGTGAGACACAACTAACAGACTTAAAACAACAACAAACAAATACATTCAAAGAAACAAAAAAAAAACATCCAATAGACAGCATACAACCAGTCAGTCTGTCCTCCTGCCAGGTTCCAGTTCAAGAAGAACCTGCGGCGGATCGTCTCTCAGCTCTACGTCAGAGATAACTGTCACCCCTTCAAAGCCAGTCTGCTGGTCTGGGTTCAGCTGCCACTCTGGATCAGTCTGTCTCTGGCCCTCCGAAATCTGAGCCTGGATCAGTCTGGTAAGAACCTGGACCAAATGAAACTAACCTAACCCAGCCCAAAATTATGAGGTAGGATACAGTACTGTGCAAAAGTCTTGAGCCACCCCTCATGTCTTAAAATTTTTGACTTTCCTGTATTTTTGTTAAGTGCACTTGTGCGATAGTTCTCTTACGCGCTCATTCTTTTCCCTCCCTGCGACGTACAGCAGCTGGAGCTTCAGCTAGCAGACATACTGCGTGACAAACTGCACACAAACAGGCTGATATCATGAATAAGAGACAAAGAGAAATGCTTAAGGCACAGAGAAAAAAACAACTGAAACAGGCTGCATAATATATTTACCTATATGTTTGCAAACTTCGAAAAATTGGTGCACCTGCTCAAGAGTCATGCATAGTACCGTGACTTTTACCTGGTCCAGGATGTAGTCTACACCACTCCCAATCCAGGACCTCTGTTTTTCCTGCAGACCTGCAGGGGGCGCTGGCAGCAGGAGGTGCTCTGTGGTTCCCTGACCTCACCATACCGGACTCCACCTTGATCCTACCTGTCTGTCTGGGACTCGCCAACCTGCTCATCGTAGAGGTCAGTTTGTCAGCAGTATGTAATTAGCTGATCAGTGGTGTAATCAGTCTAAGCTTCCTGTGCACTTCTTCTTCAGGTCTTTTCTCTGCAGAGAGTCGCAGCGTCTCGAACCCAGCGGCTGGTCTTGAACACCGTTAGAGGATTTTCTCTGCTGATGATCCCAATCGCTGCCACGGTGCCCTCTGTGAGTTTAAGGTGTAGTCCATCACATTGTCTGCCTGAGGTCTTAGACCAGGTCAGAACAGCCATTTGACATTCAGGAAAAAAGTTACAAGCTGAAATTTACAAAAAAGAAAAACATTTTAATCATAAAACATGCGTACTACACCTGCAGGGAAAATAACCTTTACACATTACAGCCCACTTAGACATGTGTACACCTGGACCGCCCTCATTTCCCAACCACTACACGTCCCATTCAACCTGAACAAGAACTTGAATTTGATCTGTGATCAAATGGGACACCATGGGACACATGGAGACTGAGTCTTATTCATTCACACAGCACAAATATGCAGGTGATGAAGGTGTAGTAAGCTGGTTAACATGAGACAAAAATGGCATTAAATAAATAAATAAATATAATTTTATTTATATAGCACCTTTCTAGACAGAGTCACAAAGTGCTGCACATAGGATAATAAATAATAAAAGGGTAAAACGGACAATATAAAACAGTCAGAAATTTAACCAAAGGCTCTAAACTGAACCATTGAACTGGTGGACAGTAGGGCTGCTCGATTATGGCAAAAATGATAATCACGATTATTTGACGATATTTATTTAACCCTTTAAGACCTACTATAGAACCAAGTCCACCAGAGCTTATATTATTTTTTTTACATGCTGTAGTGCCATTTGTGGGAGCATTTCAAGTTGCTATACATCAATACAACTGTTATAGCCCATATTTTAA